AAAAACAAAGCCCATTGGAATGCACAGACAGACAATACTGAGGCAGCTGGGAACTAAACTACCATCTCAAAGATGTTTAATCTCGCCTTTCAACTATACTATTCCGCATGATCTTCATAATTACTGGAGTCACAATTTATTTCTGTGCAACTCTGTAAATGCTCAGCCCCTTAGGCTGTAAAAACAAAGCAGACTGTCAATTTGCCTTTGTGTAATAGCAGAAGGGAAGTGGCTGAAGACAGGAAAGCTGTGCCAGCTATAGTGAGAAAAAAATGAAAGAAAAATAAACCAGTCTCAGAGGACTATTGACTTTTGCCCCACTAATTCTACTCCTGTTTGTTAGGAGGGGGAAAAGCTATTCTGGAAAATATAAACATAAATATTCCTCATTTAAGGACCTACCTATTTAATGGCTGAACTTATGAGCTGTCTTTTTCTGTGTGTACAGTTCTGTACATCTTGTTATAGAGCCTGTTTTTTTCATACATCTTGTTTATAGAGTACTGTAATTTTTACTGATTGTGCTGTACAGTACAGTACTATAGTTTTATGTTCTGTTATACATTACAGTACTGCAGGTAAGAGTTATGCAAATAAAACAGTCATCAAACTGGAGTTTCCTTTGATCATTTCTTTGTTCTGAATATTGTAAGGTATACACTACATACAATTCCTCATTTAGTGTCCAATTCAATTAATGACCTAGTTACAGGTCTGAACTCAGTCATTAATAGAGGATTTCCTGTGGCCTATTGTATTTTAGGCACATTCACTAAGCATGCTGTACAAAAAAACACAGCATTAATGAAAAGACAAATGTCTTCAAAATACGTATTATTTCTGTAACGTCTGATATTGGAGAAAAATAAGCTAGCTGGCAGTTTTTGGACATTGAGCAAACAAGCTTATTTTGCTTCAATATCCAAAAAAATTTATGATTTGCCAGTTTTGATGTGGAAGGGAGTGATTTGGAGCATGGTCTTATGAGACTGGTAGATCATATATGATACAGGCAGAACAGCTGTGCCAAAGGGGCAGAAAAATGTATCAGTGCACTTTTTTTATTGGGGTCACTTCTAAAAATTATTTGCTTCCAACAGGTCATAATAAAACTGATTCATTTGGAGTTAAATAAATTCTGAGATATAAACAAACTTTTAAGAAGTGATGTTACCTTTAAACCTTTTTGATATGAAGAAATGTCTTACACCATATGGGTACACATATTCTCTCAAGAGTTTTATATATATATATATACATACACTTCTAAACCACAAGAAACAATTGAACAATTAATTATCACTGTTATTTCTTGGCTCTCTGTTTTGTTTTGTTTTTTCCCCTCTGATTATGTGTTTAATTTTTGTCTTACATTCCTGGCTAGTAAGCTCCTTTGCTACATACTTCGTATGTCTTCCTATCCTCCAAGGTATTTACTCCAGAGGCAGAGCAATGGTTCCATTAATGCCAGCTTCACTGCCAAGGATATTTGGCATTTCCAATGATTTTTACAGACTCAAGCAGGTTCATGTTTCTGTGATACTTTATTAGTAGCATTTTAATTTCACTTGGTCTGTTGCAATGACTTGCAGAAGCTCCTTCATTAATGAGCCAAAACTGCACATTCAAAACATAGCTTCCAACAATATCAACCGTGTGATCAATGTAATCTTGAAGAATTCATCGAAACTGCTAGATGCCAGGAAAGGGCATATGAGGAAATATAGGAACAGATGTTTTACTGATTTGCTGAAGATCATATCTGGATTGGATCTGTTTTGTAATCATGATTATTGATGAGTACTTTCTATATCATTGGTAAATCATGAGATATCCTGTATTTTCTGAATAATTTTCATCCTTGACTTCTGTGACACATGAGGGATATACTGCCTGAACCTAGCTGATGTGATGATCTGTTAGTGTCTGCTGTATTTTATTTGAAAGGTTATTGGAGAACACGTGTTCTTAAGAAAAACAAGTCATTTTCATTGAAGTATTTTGATAATATGGTGTCTACTACAGGTATTCTTTGTTTAATGACCCACCTGTTTAAAAAGTGTTTGGACTTACGACCCGTCTTTTTTCTTTCTTTGTACAGTTCTGTATGTCTTGCTGATACATTCTCAATGTCTTTTTTTGGACAGTACACCTTATATATTCAGTACTGTAACTTTTGCTGATTGTGCTGTACTATACAGTACTATAGTTTTATGTTCTGTTATACATTACAGTACTGCATGTAAGAGTTATGCAAATAAAAACAGTCATCAAGGTGGAGTTTTAACTATTTCTTTGTTGTGAAAATTGTAATGTACATACTATATAAAATTCATCATTTATTGACCAATTCATTAAATGACCTTGTCACAGGACTGGAATTTGGTCGTTATACAAGGAATGTCTGTACAGCTGTCTCTCATATTCAAGGAAGATAGGTTCCAAGACCCATTACAGATGATCAAATCATGGATGCTCAAAAGTTCCTTTTATAAATGGTGTAGCATTTGCACACAACCTACACGTATCCTTCCATATACTATCTTTAGATTACTTATGTTACCTAAAATGCTATATAAATAGTTGTTATACTGCATTGTTTAGGGAATATTGATAATAGAAAAGTTTCTGTATGTTTAGAACAGATTGTTTTCTTCCAACTCATTTTGATTTGTGGTTGAATCCACAGATGTGGAAATAAGGAAGGGTAACTTCATGTATAAAAATGTTTTTCAAAGTATTATTTAAAATAGTGAAAATCTAGAGGCAATCTAAATACTGAATGTATAAGAGAATAGTTAAATGAATTTTGGTATGCCTTTCTAACAATGTTATGCAGACATTAAAAGGTTGATCATGAAGGTCACTGAGTGACAAGGAATGTTAGATTAGAAAAAATATGCAAAATGAACTCATGACAGGGGCTGGGGATTTAGCTCAGTGGTGCCTTGCCTGCCTCGAAAGTGCAAGATCTTGAGTTCAATCCCTGGCACCAAAAAAAAAAAACCCCAAAAACTTCATGACAAGTATGTTAAAAAAGAATAGTAAAATGAAGGAATAACTTTCAAACCATCATGTTGTATACCATAAATACATTCAATGTGCACTTGTAAGTTGAAAATAAATAAAAGAGTAAGGAAACACACCACATTGCTACCCGTGGTGTTAAAAGGATGGAACTATTATATTTTCTAATTTTATGTAAACTTAACATAATTTCAAAAGCTAGGTTGTAAACTAGGCATAGGTTTTTTTTTTGGTACCAGGGATCGAACTTGGGACCTTGCACTTGTGAGGCATGCGGTGGAATCACTGAGCTAAATCCCCAGCCCTCACTTACACTGTTAATGTTTAACAGTAGTACCAGTCATGTTTTACAGATGACTAATACTTTTGTTGGCATCTATAATGGAAGAAAATATTTGGTTACCAGAATGTGTATTTCTGCTTCATGTTCCTCACCCAGCTGTCAATGTGAAGAGACATACTCCTTACTCAATTACTTCAGTGTTGTTATTATAAGTAGGTTAAATAAACACGGGGGCCTCATTAAGCTATTTTGTACCTGAGTAACTCTTTTATTCATAGTATTAGCAGATCTTCCACAAAATATAATCTCTTAGCTGAAAGAGGGAGGATACTGGTTCCATAAGACTGTATGGATGAAAGGAAAACAGGATGAGACTGCAGAATGCCCCCTTCAAGAGGATATGACACACCTCTATATGAGCTGATGATGTCCACAGGCCACCAGCCACATTTGGTTCCTTCTCCTTCACACTCAGGAGCCCTTCTTCTCTCTGGTTAAAATTCTTCAAGAAGTATCTCAAGTGACACTTGCTTCCTGGGGCAAACTTCTTTCCTATTCTTTTAGCTAGTATTGGACTTTTCTGGTAATATTTCACAGAACCATGAGATTTTGAAGTTGGAGGAGAACTTGAAGGCATTAACATTGTATTCTCTCAGAAACTCAGAGAGAAGTAACTTCTTCTAATGTGGTAGATGAGTTAGAAGTAAGCAATTTCAAGTTTGTCCCAAGTAAGTACAAACTGATAATTATCATTAGGGAAATAAGATGACAAAGGGTAATGGGGAGGGAGGTGGTAGGGTTTACTTTAGTCTTGACTAGTATACACCATATACTTTCCTATGTAATATCAGAGAAATTACTGAATTTTTCTGCTACTCAGATCTCCAATATGACCAACTACAGTTCAACTAAATGACATCAGAGTGGAAAAAACCCTAAATATGAAGTAAGAAAATTCAAGCTTGTGTCCTGCCTTTGTCTGTCAAACTCCACCTGCATTGTCCCCTTGTGACTAGGGTGCAAGTGCCCTTGGAAACTGGTTACCTTTGGACTCAGCCCACACCACACACTTCTTTAAATTTTTACTTTTTTTTTTAAAAGATGGGTTCTCATTATGTTGTTCAGGCTGCTCACAAATTCTTGAGCTCCACTGATCCTCTTGCCCCAGCCTCCTGAGTAGCTGGGACTATAGGTGTGTTACACTGTAGCTGGCTCACACTTAAGATTTTTTTTTTAAAACTCTTTGGGTGCTTATATTCATTTTCACTAGATAAGACCTCTGAGGACTTTGGAAACACTTGAATAAGTTTTCTATTCTATTACTTTTAGACAAGAAGCATGTTTACTTCATGAATGGAATTATGAGTTTGGTAGACATGCACTGAGAACCCAGTTAGTGATAATGTATTCTTCACGGCACACTAAAAAGCCCCACTACAGCTCAGTGCTAAAGCACTTTACCAGCATATGTGAGGCCCTGGGTTCACTGTCCAGCCTGTAGAAAAACAAAACAAAACCCAACAAACTGGCTTTATCCTCTCCTTTTTTCTGCACTGTTTAAGTGATGGGCTGAAGAAAACCAAACCACCAGCAAACCATTATCTTTTCTTCAAATTTTGGCTAACTGTGTCTAGTCAAAGAATAGCAGCTTTCAGTAAAAGCCCATCATATCCAAGAAAAGAAACCATACCGAGTGCAGAGTGCCATTGCTGGTCGCTGTGGGAGGGCGGGCCCACCGCTCATTTTCCAGTTCTTCCATTACTTGGTTCATGGCACTCTTTAACCATGTGTCCACAGAAACACCAATCTGCTTTAGCAGGTCCAGCCGAGCTTCCGCTTTCAACTTAATTATCTAAGAAAACCAAAATAATAGTCAGAAATCAAGGCCATTTTTCCTCACATTAAGTTATTCCCCAATTATTAATTAGAATGATCTTGATATTCACCCGCAAGTCTTCCTTGGGATAGATGCTAATTTTTCTTCTGCAGAGAAGAGAGGGGAGGGAGAGGGAGAGAACATGAACAAAGAACAGGAGTCTCAGCCTCCTGATAATGGCAAATAGTATACTTATATTTCACTCTCATTCACTTGTTCATTCCTTTAATCTCAGGGTGGGGGTGCTGGAGACTGAACCTAAGGCCTCATGCATGTTAAGTACACATTGTACCACTAAGCTCCGCCTAGTTCCTTGCTCCTCTGCATCTTGACAAATGCATAGTATTGAAAGCATAGTATTGAAGACACATCAAACATAACTTAGGAACAGGAAGAGATTGTGCCATAAAATCTGCTTTCTTTTCTTGTTAATAAAGCTATGTCTCAGAATATCTTGAAATACGGCATTTTTCAGTAGCCTTCTTACCCAATACTTGGGCTTTTTCTTTCTTCTATAATCCATATTTTATAGCCTATTAATGACATCATGTCACTTCCCTGCTTAAAAACTTCTATGACTCCAGACTACCTACTAAATAGAGAATTAACTAATTTTTCACCTGGAGTAAAATGGCTTTCACAATTTGACTGGTTTATTTTCTTCTATTCCTTTCCACATGTCCTATGCTCTCACAGCACTATGCACTGGTCTTCCAATACACTCTGTGCTTTCATGCCTTTGTTCACACCAGGCCCTCTGTCCACAACAACCCCCCCACCCCACCCCCAGGTCCTAGGGATTGAATCCAGGGCCTTTGCACTGAGCTATATTCCCCAACCCTTAAAAAAATTTTTTTTTTGGAACCAGGCATGGTGGTACACATTCGTAATCCCAGCACTTTAGAGGCTGAGGCAGGAAGACTGCTGCATGTTCAAGGCCAGCCTGGGTTACATAGCAAGACGTTATCTCAAAAGACCAAATTTTATATTTTTCATTTTAAAACAGGTCTCACTAAATAGCTAAATTAACTAGGCTGGACTCAAACTTGGGATCATGCTGCCTCTACCTCCCAGTGTGCTGGAATTATAGAACCATGCCTGGCTCTCTTAAGTTTAACAGGCTCCAACTTTATTCTTTTGTATATGAATATCAAATTGTCCAGTCACCATTCTAGTATGCATTTTAAAGCACTGAAATGTTAAAGAAAGAAAAGGGGAACCAAGAAGCTCTTTTTTGGAAATCATAAATATAAGTCACTTAACTGCTGAAGCAGGGAAACAAAGAAATAAAAGTTTTCAGTATATTTTATTTTCTCAACACTGAGTAATCTAGTTTTCATGAGATTTATTTTCGTCAGTACTTTACCAAGCAAATGATGGACACAGTATTTGCAAACTTAGATTGCAATTCCAGAATTAAACACTGCTATCTTCTACTAGATATACAGTACAGCGTGTATATTTTAGTTGCAGTCAAAATAACACTCAATAGTTTGTAGAAGGAGAATCCACACATTTAATAAACAGTCATGTCACACCCAGTGGGTAAGGCAACCATGTTGGCTGGAGAGTGTGTCATCTCCGTGGCAACCAGGCAGGCAGGAGGGCAGCACCAAGAATGGCCTGGGAGCCATCAACCCTCCAAGGTGGAAGTACAGGAAACCTCAAAGAAAAACAAAGACAAGACACCTGCTATCCTAAGAAGAGTGACCTTACTGTATCGGCCAAATTCCTCAAGACAATATCCCTTCTTTTCCCTTTAAATTCTTTGTTCTCTGCCTGTTCTACACTGACTCCCCTTCAGACTCAGACTGCTTGCTGGTGCCTGAGCATTAAATAAATGAGCCTTGTAGCTCACACAATGCCTGCCCAGGTGCTCTCTCCTCTCTGTGTCTCCTTAATACAATTTGTCGCATTCTGTGAAAAACAGTATGCATCTAAAAAGCAGAAAAACATATGAACCATAATCAGGAGAAAAATCCTTCAAAATTTAATACAGGAATAACACCAATTTTACATAAGCTCTTTTCTTAGAAAATGGAGTTGGGGGCTGGGATGTAGCTGAGGGGTGCAGTGCCTGCCTAGCAAACATGAAGCCCTGAGTTTAATTCCTGGTATCAAAAAAGGAAAGAAAAAATTTTTAAAAGACCAAGAAAAAAAAAAACCTCTTAAAAAAACAGAACATTTGTGAAATGTGAAAATTGTGACCATTTCCTGATTTTATATGGGCAGTTCATTTTTAGACAAATAAAAACAAAAACATATTATAGGACAATATCTCTCATGAATACACATGAAAAATTCTTAACAAAATATTAGTCAATTAGATATAGCAGTATACAAAAAGAATATATCATGATCAAATGTAATTTATCCCAGAAATGTAAGACAAGTTTAACATTAGGAAACCAATCGTAATATAACTTCCTTGTATACTGATACTGATATGTAAGTTATAGTATAATTTGTATAAAGAGAATAATGAAAATTGATGTCCGAATAGATGGCAAAAAAAGGATTTGACAAAATTCAACATCTGTATTCACAGGTAAAGAAAAAAAAGAACTTCTCTTCAATTTAATAAAGAACAGCAAAAATCTAGTCAATATTATATCTAATGAGGAAATTTTGGATATTTCTCCTAGAGTTAGGCAATAGGTAAGGATGTTGGCGCTTACCACATTTATTTAATATCCTACTAGAAGGCCTACCCAGGGTAATAAGGCAAGAAAAATGGATAAAAGGTAATTAAATGGATTGAAAATGAAAACGTATAACTGCTTTTACTGGGAGAAAACACAATCATTGAAAATGACTATCTTAAGGACTCTACCAAAAAGTTATGAGAACTAAAAAATAAATGCAAAGCCAATGTAAAAATTAATTTTATTATGATATACTGACAATAGACAATATAACATTAAATTTAAGAATTCTCAATAGTATCAAAAACAAAAAACTTGGGGATAAACAATATGTCTAAAACATTTTATTATAGACGGCTAAGTTAGTTAAAATATTATAGGCAGTCAGACAGGACTGGGCCCTCAAGAGAGTCAATGCAGAAGATAAGAACATTAGAACTGTGGCTGGAGGTGTCTTGAAGGTCAGGCTTCAAAACAAGAAGAAATGACTACACCCATGTATTTCCCCAAGGGATGAACAGTAGTGATTGATATTCTAAATAGGCATCCATCACCTTGGGTGGGGGACCAAAATCTCCCTAGCCCATTCCTTTCTGGAAAATCTTTATTTGGCCCATGTATGCTTGCTATGTGACATGATTCCCCATTTGTTTCCCATTTAATCAGTATTACCTAAGCGACTATACTTATAATCTTATTAGTTGACCATACTTTTGTCCCAACTTATACCCACCTTGTGATTTTCCACTGGATCAATATTACCCAAGAAACAATACTTAAAATCCTATTGGTGGACTACAGTTTTGACCCACCTTGTACTTGCCTCACCTCATGGCTTTGCTCTATAAAACTCCCTTGAGAAGCAGGGTCTGGGGGCAACCTACTTTCCAGGGCCCCTTATGTTTCTCCTAGACAGAAACTATCTTTCTCTCCATAAATACTTCCCACTCTTAACTTCCATTGTTCCTAGAATTCCTCCTTCGATTTTAGAAAACACAAACTTGGCCTATCAGACATCTACTAGATTGGGAGTTATAATATTCCCTTATATTATTTGGAGGTCTATATATCATCCCTATATCATATGCCCTATATCATTTTGACCAAAAACTACAAAATATTATGAAGGAAAATAAAAAAGGCCTAAATAAATGGAGAAATATGTCATGTTCATAAATTGCTAGCCTCAATATTGTTGAGAATTCTCCTCAAAATGACTTACAGATCCAATGCAATCCCAATCAAAATCCCAGAAATCTTTTTTTTATAGAATTGACAAGCTGATGGAAACGAGAACAGTCAAAAAAACAAGAAAGAAGAACAGTGCTGGAGAACTTACATTACCCAATTTCAGGACTTATTATAAAGTCATTAAGACTGTGATACTGGTATAAGAGCAAACATACAGATCAGTGGAATTGAATGGAGTCCAGAAAAGATTTTTCACACAGTGTGATCATTTGTTTTCAACACAGGTGCAAAGGTAATGAGGAAAGGATAAACTTCCAAAAATGGTGCCGGAACAATGGAATATCTACATGGGGAAAAAAAAGGAACTATAACCCTTAACTCATATTGGACCTCAACAAATGAATTCAAAATGCTTACAATCACAGTCCAAACATAACAGCTAAAATAGCAATACTTCTAGAAGAAAATGTAGAATATATCATAACTGGTGCAGGCAAAAAATGTCTCAGGACACAAAGAGCATTAACTATAGAAAATAAAATAGATAAATCAGATCTCATCAAGATCAAAAATTTCCAATCTAGATAATGAAAAGCAAGCTAAAGACTGGAAGAAACATTTACAATACATATAATTAAAGAGTAACTACGTAGTATCCACAAAATATGAAGAACTCATTTTTCTTTCCGGTTCCCAGGGATCAAACTCAGGATCTTGTGCTTGCCAGGCTGGCATGGTGTCACTGAGCTACATCCCCAACTCTGAAGAACTGTTATAACTCAGTAAGACTGATTCAAATTTTTTAAATAAGCAAAAGATATGAACAAATAATTTACTGAAAGAAGATCTATGAATAGTCAATAAGCATATGAAAAGATGCTCAGTATCACCAGTCAGCATTCAAATGCAAATTGGAATTAGGATGAAATAGGATCACATATCCATTCTAATAGCTGAATTTAAAGACTGACAATACTAAATGTCTGTGAAGGGATGTAACATGGTATAGGTGTCAAGTATGATCTGGCTATGACCGGATTAATGAATATGCTGTTTAATTCCAAGCTATAGTTTTAGCAGATACAAAACCTGCAGCCCTCAGCAAAAATATGGCCCTCTTTCATGGACCTAAAGATCAGA